TGCAAAGAATTTTGAATTATTAGATTTATTGTCATGTTGCTGAAAATTTGTGTTGATTTCACATGAAATAATTATTTTTTGAATGTACATTGTACTGTATAGATCTTAGCCAAWGATGTCACRGAACCAACTCAGCCTGGGCCAGTCTTCTTCATTATTGATTGTCCTTCTACAGAGTACATACCAAGTTTAATCCAATCAGAACAGTTTAATGTTTACAAACAGCCTTCCCATCAGCCATGCTTGGTTGTACATCTTGTCCCAATGACAGTTTTTGACAAGCATGAGTATAAACAATGGATAATGAGGTACTGGACTGTAGAGTTAAGGTCAAGCTATGTTACTGATTCTTCTTTATGCCATACATGTGTACATGCTGGTCTCTCTACCTAGTATTCACAATATACCATAGCATATTTAAATAAAGGTTTTTCTTCAATACTTCATGGGGGCAAAATGTCAAAGACAGTGATATTGAGGGCAAGAAGGCAATGGGGTGAGATGACCTGYTACCTGTTATCAATTTTTTTTCTGCATTTCTTTCCAAGGGTCTTTATCCTGGAATAACCTCTTTCTAAGCACTTAAACTTTCAATGTCTTCTGTTTCATGTATTTCTCATCACCACATGGTCCACATACACCTACTTGCGAAAACGTTTTCATAAAAGATAGGATATTTGTATTTAGTAAAAAGGAATAAATTAGAAAAAAAAGACAAAGGAAGATCACTGAGGCTGAATGCTCTCTTTTGTCTTGTTTTAATTTATTCCTTTTTACTAAATTCTGTTCTGTTCTATTTTCTATGACAACGTTTCTGCAAGTAGGTGTATACATGTCAGAGAGATTGGTAATTGTGATTGCTATGGAAAAATTTTTATTTTTTTTAGTAAATAATACTTTACTACATCAATAACTGATATTTCCCATCTGAAGCTGCATGCATACATTATACATGTCAATCCAGTTGGTCATAATATGAAACCATTAAACATTTCATACAAAATCATGCTGCATTGTGGTCTAGCAACACATACTTGGGCACATGAATACTTTATAACAAATCTAGACTGCAATGCATTGTGGATAAGCAATATACAATTGATGCTATTTCAAAAATAGCCCATGCCATCCAGTTAATATAAAGCTTGTTGCTTATTAATTACTTGCGCTTTGCTTGTATTTGTTTTAGTTTTGGTGAATCAGCCAATCATTTGCTAATTAATAAAGATGCATGCAGTAGACCTACAATATTTCAATCCCAAGCAAAGATTCAAGTAAAACTACATACTATTGATAAGGACTTGTTTCCTCTCCTTTATTCTTCACAAAACCCTGTAAGTTTGATTCCTTGATTGATTAATTGATTGGTTGATTGACGGATTGGCTGATTACTTGATTGATTGACTGATTGATTGATTGATTGATTGATTGGTTGACTGTTGGTTGATTCGAATGGATTGTTTATTGATTGATTTATTCAACAAACAATTGATTTGTGGTATTATCTTGGTTGTTTAATTACTCTCATAATCGTTTTCCTTGCATCTGGCTTGTTTTCATGTTTCTAGCTCCACGATCCTGGTCTTTTACCAATCAACACTATTCCAGGAAGAAGTCTACTCAAGTTTCACCTTAGGCCTCAGAAACTCCAAGGATTTGACACTGTTGATATCCCAACAGAACTTGATACCGACACTTTAATGACAGAAACTGTCAATACTATCAAAGATACTAAAAATGATGAACACATTGCTTTACTAAACAGAAATCCAAGAGTACAAACAATACTTAAAACTTTAGATAAAGACACCAGTGAAAGAACAGAGCAAGGAAATATTTCACCAGTGTTGCATTCTTGTGAAGATAATGCTAAAGACAATAATTCAACAAGTTTGATTTGTATAGATGGACAGTCAAGATGTAGACATGACATAGCTTCACTTAATGATGACTTTCAAGTTGTTTTTATTGGTACTGGTGCTTCTTTGCCTTCTAAATACAGAAATGTTAGCTCAACATTGCTACATACAAGGTGCTTATAAAATGATCTTTCTCAGTTTCATTTGTATAAGAAATTCCAACATTTGAGAAGAATTGATGACAAATATAGTCCACTTTTGATGGAAATTTTGATGGCTTAGTATCAGGAGTACCCAGCCTAAATGGTTTTATGGTTGTTTTCATGCAGCACAAGCAGTGTTTTTTGTTAATTTTYGAGAAATAAAAAATGATGGAATTTCCTATCAACCATCCGATAAATGCAATCCATATGCAGCTGCAATGCAAAGTAGGTTTACCCCTGAAATCTTGAAATATAACTCAAGCTTTGCATCAAGTGAGACGATCAGTGAGTCTGCAATAGTAGAAGCTTTTGTTCACAACCATAGAGTGACAATAATCATCATTGTACACTCACAGATAGCCACACTTTGKTTCAAAGTAAAGGTTTCATTTTAAGAAGCTGCAGGGAAATGTGAATGTGCCAGAAGAAACCTGCCAGAAACACACAACATAAAGAGATAGATACTTCATGTTGTAAAATTTGTTTTGTTTTCTTTAGCAGTCAATCAAGCACAATTCTCCTTGACTGTGGAGAAGGAACACTAGGACAGTTGTACAGACACTATGGCAACAACATGGACAACATAATTAATAATGTTAATTGTATATTTATATCACATATTCATGCCGACCACCACTTAGTAAGTACCCATCAACTTTGCCGAAAATCTTAGTGATTGAGAAAGTCATAAAAGTMATTTTTTTTTATTTCAGGGATTAATACGAGTTCTTCTTCATAAAAGGAGACTAAAAAAGGTAAGTGATAGTATTCTTCATATTCCATTCCTCAGTCGCTCCATGGGAATGGGGGGAGATTGGTCGACATGTAAGTTTGTTTGAGTTTATTGGAAAGAGGTTACACACAACAACAGTAACTATAGAACAACCACTTGTTTTTGCCAGCTGCACCCTTTCCCTAGATCTAGATCTATAGGGGAGCAAGGAAGGACGAGCAGCTAAAACGGCGGTCTATCACCGCTGTGGTCCTGGTTCAATTCCTGGTCCGGGACTATATGTGATTTGAGTTTGTAGGCTGGTTCTCTTCCTTGCTCCGAGGGTTTTTCTCCAGGTCCGCTGGTTTTCCCCCCTCAGTCAAAAACTAGCTGTGAGGAGTTTCGTGCAGTAAAATAATGAATGTTGAGGTAGTGAGTATTAGTKAGTATGTAGAGGGCCACAAGTTTACTAGTCTAGAGACTATTACGTGCTATCCTATCAAAATAAAAGACTAGAATAAAAAAATAAAAGACTTTATTTATCTGGTGTTGTTAATTAAAGGTGCATTGCTGCGTTCACAGGAAACAAGTGATTCAACACCAACAATTGTGATTGGACCAACAAAGATCAAGTTATGGCTGCAGGAATACAGTTCTTTGTTTGAATACTTTGATTACAGGTACATGAATTAACCATTCTTTCTATTCTGATAATTTTCATCGTTTATTAATAGAGTGATCGCACTTATAACCGTGTAACTGTACAAAATCTAAGTACAAATAATTTGTACTAAAAGTGGACCTGAAGCAAGGCGGTATTGAATGCTTCATTTGTATCAATTCTTAATTTGCGTATCGCATGCACGATTTCCTAAATATAACTAAATAGCACTATTTAGTTTGTACAGTTGCACGGTTTAAGTGGTACCACTCTAGTGGTAGAGTGCCCGCACTTAATATGTGAAAAAACGTTCTTATTTTAATAAGAACGTTTTTTCACATTAAAATTACTACTAAATAGTGTCGATCAAACATGAGAAAGCAAAGGAATTAGCGTAATTTAGTACTATTAAAATACATCGGCTCTATCAAAAGGTACTTCAAGGTGTTCATAGAGCTACTCCAAAAAGGTCGTCACAGAAGAACGGCTCAGAACGACCGAAAGGTGCACAAAGATGGCCAATTTTTTCGTTATGAGCAATACACCTTATTCCAAAATGGCTGACTAGCCCTTGATGTCTCGTTTTCATAAAAAGTATTCTTTTGTCTTTGAGCTTGAGTGACTTTAAAAGAAAAGAACAATTTCATGAAAACGAGACATCAAGGGCTAGTCAGCCATTTTGGATTAAGGTGTATACATGATTTTCAAAAATGGCGGTCGCCGATCAAGACATTACTTACCAATACCTCAAACTTGACACACTACATAACTTTTGTCGTCACGTTTCAGATTTGTTAATTGTAATGARATAGCCAGTGATGGTCATGAGTTCATGGAATTGTTTAAGCAGACTCAAGCTTTAGAGGTAAGAGAAGTTACTTATGTTTTTTACTTTCACAGGGGGCGCTGTACCACAACAACTTAATTGTAGGAAATGACTGATTGAAGAACTGATGTTAAGAGAATCATATAGGGCTGTGGCATACTATATTATCACTCACCCATTATGGAATCAATTTATGTCATGGTGTTGGGAGAATAAAGTATGGTTTGATATTGAAGACCAACGCCATCATTGCATCCAAAAATGATTGGTTCATTTTTCAAATCTCTTTCAAGATCGTTGTTCTAAAGCTAAACAAGATGTGATGACCCTTCTGGGAGAAAGTTCAGAAGAACATATTTTATTCTCCGAACGCATGTTTAAGATCACTCRTTGTCTTTACGATGATGAGAGTTGCAAAGTTTAATTCTATTTTTTGTAAGATCCYTTTTTTTTTGTTATAACCTTCAATAAGGACCCCTATTATTTTCAATGTTTTGTGAAGAACAACAAGATGGACGAATTGAAACGATCTGTTTACCATTGTATTAAAAATAGAAATCTTGAAATTGATTACCATSCAAGATTGTTACGTAAGGTCATGAGCCAGCAACATAGTTTTATTCATTCTTTTTTGAGAATGTTTTATCATGAACTGTTAGAGGATGAGAAACTGTTGTTTGATCCTGAGATTAATAACTATTATTTACATATTGTAAAGTACAAATTAGCCATGTTAAATTTAAAAAATAGAAACAATTGAAAAAAACGAAATCGATTCATTGCCAGCCGCTCTGCACTTGCCGTCTCGCTGGGGGCGAAGGGTTGTCSTTTTTTTATGAAGAACAATTCCCAAAATAGACGTTGCGCCACTACTTCTTCTGCTGCTTGCAAGAAACTCTGCGTTTATCATCCACTCGTCTTTGTGTCACTAACAGGCAAATCATGTCCTATTACCATGCTGTGTAAACAAAATACAGCATTTACCAAAGATTCTGAAACTTCCAACAATAGCCATATACAGGGTGCATTGTGGGTAGTCTGTCGCACCGAGAAAAACCCTCTGAAGTAGATATAAAAATGTTTATTGATATGTTAATTGGATACGMAGATGTATACAGCAAGTTCTATTAATGAGGTTATATCATTTCTGTGTAGTTAAGAGCCGTTCCTGTTGTTCATTGTGCTGATGCCTATGGTTTAGTATTCAAACACATCAATGGCTGGAAAGTTGTTTATTCTGGAGATACAAGACCTTGTTCATCTCTAGTCAACGCAGGTAAACTGACACYAAGAATCGAAGGGAAAGGTACCTGGATGGGAWTTGTACGAATTATTACCTAACCTGGCCTTTAGCTTGGTTTGATGGATTTSYAAGAATCTGTGTAGATATGATAGGGTGCAAAATGTAGGAGGGCTAAGCTCTTTCGTTTTCACTTCCATGGAGGACTTATAACTAACGAGTTTGGCTCTACCAACGAGGGACACCCCATCTCATGTAAACAGGATCCAAAGCGTATGGCACTCCGCACCCCTTTCCCTCCTCCTGATCCACTATATGACAGTGTTTCCAGAAACGATTAAATTTTTTTTGAAGATCAGTTTGGTGTTTTCATGTAGAACTTTGCTGTATTTATTTCTTTGCTTCGCTGGAGTATTGCCATACTGACATTCACAAAATTTGTAACAGGCCACGATGCAACTCTTCTCATTCACGAAGCAACATTCGAAGACGAACTCCAGGAAGAAGCATTGGACAAGAAGCATTGTACAACTACAGAAGCTATCAACATTGGCAGAGACATGAATGCTGGCTTTATTATGTTAAATCATTTCAGTCAGCGGTATCCCAAAATACCTGTCATTAGTGAACGGTTTACTAAGCATACTGGGATAGCTTTTGACCACATGAGGGTAAGAACTGCATAGAAATCAGTTTATA